ACACGAATTGCTCATGTTAATACATCTGAAGCCCAAATAGCGATTCCAAAAGGAGGATCGAGTTGCAGGGAATTTTTTTACAACAATTGATTCCCTGTTGAACTAGCTATAAAAACGATACCGTTGACGCTGCTAGCTGATGGTAACGAAAAAGTTTAGCACGCTGAAGATCATGGGTTACAGTCGCAACGACCGCCAGACAGTGACGGTGTTCGACTCAAGCTATCGAACCCAGCAACCAGTTTAACAGTGTGCACCCATCGCTTATGTACGTTGAAATACTTATTTTAGTTATAATTTTAGACAGGAATGTAGAGAAATCTTAAACTGCTACAGGCAGAGTTCATCGGCGCCTGTGGCTCCCTTAACTGACGTTTCTCTTTCGCATAAAATACGGATTTCTACTGCACCTTAGCAGTTTCATCTTGGTCTCCTCCCGATGTTTTGCTGACTCTTACTCCCAACGTCTGTAACCAATATTGGTTCGTGCTAAACTCAACTTCATCATGTTCTGGTAACAACTTCGGTTTTCTAACTTGCTGCCTCTATACTGAGTTGTCCGCATAGCAGCTGCTTGGGTATCCGCGTCGAATACATGCGGCTGATATGCTCGATTCACTTCAGGTGCCACAGCAGAGGTATGCAATCCACTGCATATACGATACTACTGCGCAGCATTTCTCTATCAGCAACTCGGTTACCCCAGCCGATGCGCGTCATCCACAGCAGGCACTGTTGGCAGATGCGCTACCGATAACGGACGTCCTTTCGACAAAGCGTCCTGCCGTATAGAAGGACGGGGAGAACCATCGACTGGTGCACCATCAACTTCGTTCCATCGGTTAACTGGCGGTTGTTTCACACCCGTTTCTTTGGCTATCCAAATGCGGCTGCTGCCTTCGATACGCCGATTGACAGATCGCTCTTCATCGGCAGATCGACAGATATTACATTTCCAAGGTAACAAACTCGAGAGGCGGTTTCTAAAGTGTCATCACCGATATGGATTTGAGGCGGGCCGACGGATTCTACTTATGGAGAAGGCTGAAAATGATGAACAGTCAGGCTTGTGTTGATGGTAAGCCCGAACTTGGCCACTATCAAAGTGAGAGCCGTAGTCATGCGTTGCAACTCATCCGCGCTGTGTGCAAACAACGCACAGTCGGCAAATGACAACCTACATATGGTTGTCTCGCACAATTGTGTTCTCGCCCCGAAACGACAGAGGTTCAGCAACACACCACCAATACGTTGCTCCACACAGACACCGTAATTACAGGCAGCATCTAAATCACAAAACATCACTGCATAGAGGTAAAAATTAACCAGAGCAGGGACTAAGAAACAGCCTCGTTCCACGCCAGAGACAACAGCAGTCATTTGTTTGTCCACTCAGATGCACCTTACAAACTTAATTCGAATAACCAAACTTGCCTAACACCAACTAAAGTGCCTTACGGTTCACCGTATGAAATGTCTTGGTGAAGTCAACAAACAACGAGTACAATGGCTGTTGTCGCTTTCGGCATTTCTCCTGCAACTGAAGGGCCGCGAACACCTTGTCTCTGGTGCTGCGGCCCGTACGGAATCCCCATTGATCTTCCGCCACGTTCGTTTCAAGGACTTGGGTGATGAGGCGGTTGAGCAGAATTCGTGCACGTTTTTCCCCACACGACACTTCATAGCTCATTGCTTGCTTCATTCGCCATTGTACAGTGGCACTACAAGGGCGTCTTTCAACTCGGATAGCACACGTACTTCAGACCACACGCTTTGCATCAAGTGGTGCAGCGCATGCATCCAGGCGGGTCCGCGGTATTCCGACGCCTCTGGCACACGCCGTTTCGCAGCGAAGCAAGTGCTCTCTGCGTGTCATCCAGTGTCGGTGTGTCGACAAAATACATATCCATTGCTTGTTGTTGCAGTCCGTGCAACGGCCGTCCAAGTGCTTTGCCAAATGTGCATTGTGTCTGCGGTCTGTGTGCAGTCAGCGCCTGAAGTAGAAATTGTCAGCGGCCGCAAGGTGGCTCCATACGCGTACTTCGAGCAACTAGCGTCATTCGGCGTATTATTCCATTGCTTCATTTTATCCGTCCACCATGAATACCTAGTGCGACCGAGCTCCCGAGCCAGACACGTTGAAATTTGCGAAACTCGCTCTCCTCGGAGTCGGCAGGGTCCTCCATTTGTGCAGCGAGGGCTGCATTTTTTTCCGACACCAATGCACCGACGGTCGCACAGTTGTCATCAAACAAATCGGACTGGTTACAGTTTGCGTGCTCAGGGGTTTCCTCGGCAACAGCCGCCACTTGCACACGAACTTGGTTCCACAGGTTGCTCATTGGCTTTATGGGTTCGACATCGCAAAGCAGGTAGCCATCGCTTTCTTCATCTTCATCTCGAGAGTACCTAAGGACGAACAATGAATTTGCGCCGGTTCATGACTGGTCTGCAATAAATGGATTTACGAACACATGTACAATTGATCTACACAGACTTGTGATCCGTGTCACACTCAGCTCCACGCTGTATTCGTATCATGCGCACTTCAGGCATGTCACGCTGGCGTACGATGACATAGTCGTGCAGGTGAGCGTGACCAGTCCGTTGGTGCGTCCAAGTAGCCGTAGTACTCGTACCCAGTGAAAACTGCGTGTTTGTGATCGCCAGGCGGTAGGTGATGCACAGTGAGATCATCCGGTCACCGTTTCCATTTGCTGTGTCAATACCATACAGACCGATCACTTCTATCCACACCGCAACATCCAGCCCAACGCGCGCGTCGAGAATATCCTGTGGGAATAGCCGCTCTCTCTTCGGCGCAGACAATCGGCCGGTGGCCGAATGGTCTGCACGCCTGGATTGCAATCATAAGGTCACCGGTTGGAATCCGATTTGGGTGGGCGTTCTCGCGGTATAATCAGCCCACGCACGACTGGTGGTGTTCACGTGGCAACGAAGCGTCGTTACGCGATGCAGCTGACGATATTTTTAATCATCCGTACCAGTCGTACACAAGGCACTGACTGGAACTTAGGACGTGCATTTACCTTCTCACGTTGTTTTTGCTTCTGTCACTTTAATTTCATTATTCTATTTAGTTGTAACCAATCGTTTGTTCTGTTGTAGTTTGCATACCGAAATTTGTTCCATGTCTTCTCAATCGACATAGGTACAATCTGTCTGGTGGATCCTACTCAATCTCAACAATTTAATCATATAGAAGTGGATCGGCTCCTGCGACACGAACCTTTTGACAAGAATTCAGACGCTTTTACATTTACCAGCTTCTTAGTCATTATTGATTCACAGAATCCTGACAAGCTAAAGACATTTTCCTTTTCTCTCCTCAGCCGTGTATTCAATTATTTCTCGATGTCCCTCGTACGAATCAGCAATCAGCACTGTCGAACCACTCTATGTACAACCAAAGTATGAAGTGCTCGCGCTACCTGCAAACAAAGGTCTACCGAAAATCTCCATCGGTTCATACAGAGACTACTAGCATTTACCGGAGACTGTAATGATACATCTGTAAGTGTTGAGCAAAACAAAGATGAGGCCATCCGCGATGCATTTGTCAACGGGTGATTATCCAATTCTATAAGAGGAATGTTGTTGGAGCACTAAACCTTGAAAATACAGACTGCGTTTAATCAACCTGTCCTTAGGCTTTGCTCAGAAGCAATCTCATACATTTGCGTCATCGGTACCGATCGTACCATGCAACGCCATAGCTGCTCATGAAAAACCATGCACCAGTGCACCGTTAGACGCCACGCTGGCTACCGCTCGAACAAAGTTGTCAGATCGCAGGGTAAGCACGGAGCTCGAATCTTGCAGGTGGCTTTCCGATAAACAGCAAATATTGATTGAGAGGGTCTCTAGTGTTCGGGCGAGTGCTGCCTGTTGGCTTATCTGTAGGAAAGTGCGCACGTTGAGACATGCCAGTCTTAGCGAGACGCGTGAACTCCAATGGGAAACGAATGAAACGACGTTGTCCGCTTGGTTGAACATGGACTTGTTGGATGGATTGGAGCGATGCGCCGCGACTGTGTGATTTGAAACTAGAAAACAAGCGATTATTAGAGCAAAGTGGCGAAGGGCTAAGAATTGGGCAAAGGAAAATGGTAGGGGGGAAGTAAAGTTGGAGCGGGACGATACGGATGAAAAAGCGCAAGAAGGGGATAAGGAGACGGGAAGGCCTGAGCAGTAGCATCCATACCCGTATCCACCCTGATCGATGCAACAGATAAGGCACCGTTGATTATCCTCTGCGACGGCCAGAGCAACAAGACATTGTTAGAAGAAAGGTTCATTGTATTTCGTGGGCAGAATACTATCAGGTTTCCTAGGCCTAGACAGGAGAAGGATTAAGTTTCTCAACCAAAGTCTTCTGTTCATTAATCTGACCGCAAGGCAGTGGGGTTTTGGCATTGGACTACAGAGAGCTCATTTTATGGAGTAAGAAGCCACTCTTATTCCAACCCCCAACCTGGTGGGCCAGGAGACTGAGCTTTTCAGGCCTCTAACCACTGACCAATTTGGTATGAGTAGCTCTGAACTTGTGAAAAGCACCACCCAGCGTAGCTCAATGGATCACTGAGGCACACAAACCATCGCACCGCGTGATATATATATATATATATATTATATATATATATATATATATATATATATATATATATATATATATATATATATATAATGCAGTGTGATGGTTGCCATCGGTTCCCAGATTTGCCTACCATTTCGACCGCGAACGTGACAGGCTACCACCGCCTACGTCTAGTCAAAGCGTTCAGCGAACTAATGTTTCATAACTACATTTCATTCACTTTTCAGGTGACCTGTTTTTCCTGTCTTTTAATCGAGGTTTCCAAGAACAGTACGCTTTATTTATACTCATGCACTGTTTTTGAAAACAATCATGAAGCTCCAAAGAAGCCTGCGTGTTGCCGGAGGCAGATGTGCAAACGAGCACACAGGTCTGATGAGAAGCAAACTGAAACGAAGGTAAGCCTACACCTTCTACGAACGTTCTCTGCAGCCCTGGAGACGAACCAACGTTTCGTGATCTGGTACTACCCTTAAGAGGCCCTTTACCTTACCACTTCTTTTTCAGTTTAAGTTCGCCAGCCAGTTCGAGCTGTGTATGCTGAGCATTGGATTGGCGATGAGCATAGTCTTGGGTTTTGCTTTTCCGCTCACTATCCTTGTCTTCCGTTTCATCGTGAATGATTTCATGAGCCCTGATTTTATCCTGGCCTATGCGGATATTATCAACACTTCTGTTTGGTTCGCTATCATTGCTCTTTGTTCTTTCATTTTGGCCTTTTCACAAACGGTTCTCGTCAGCTTCTTTACGGAGGGCGTTTGCCATCGTATTCGGATGAATTATTTTCATGTAAGTTCTCCGTTAAATTTCTCCTTACCACCTCTGCCGGCCACTGCCCTAACATCAGTGCTGAGTGATGAATTTGTGATGTCTCAGATCGGTATGATTTTAAAAGCTGCAGGAATCACCATCTCTACCAGATAGACTTAAAGCAAAATGAGTAAACGAGAAAAAAACCTTCAAAGTATCAAAAGCTTTTGATTGGGGAACTAGTAATAGCAGTGAATGCACACGTTCAAAATTTTTCTTTAGTCTTTTTGGCCCCTTGTTGTTTTATCGCTCGTATCCACATGTGTCATGCATTCTAGCTTTGGTATCAGCAGTCATAAGGAGCATGCCATCTCGATGACATATTTATGGAGTGGAATGATACCATTTCTGTTATCAAGCGTCGGCTGATGGATCTCAACATATCCGACTCCATTGTTCTACTTGATATGAAGTCCTGAACACCAGCAGCAAAAGGGAGATTGTTTCTCAGTGTTGCTGTCAGAACTCGATCGAATGTGTTTGTACCTCTATACTTCTGGCTGAGTGAGAGCCTGTGTCATGCTTTCCCCATTCTGCCCTATCAACATTGGCGCACAACAAGGATTTCAAATGCTACCGTTTATCTGCAACATAGCGATCGAAGATGTCCTTTTGGGTGCTTTAGAGGACCTGCTGAACTTCCGCATCAAGCTTCTTCCAGGTAGTCGCGCGGCTGGCTTAGATTACGCCGATATCGCCTTGCACGGTGACGACTCCTTATTTACCGATTGGTGATTAAAGCGTCTATGTATGGTATGTGGTTTGCCCCCTCTAAGTGCAAAGTTCTTTTACAGAACTGGCATGCACCTCTTCCCCACTTCACTATCGAAGGCACACAGCTCGAACACGCACATAATTTTGTTTACCTATGGAGCTGCGTTTCTGCCGACGGCAGTATTGGAGTAGAAGTATCACTTCGTATCGCTGAAACCCGGTTAGCGTTTGCCAACTTAAGACATTTGTGGTACGTAGCGACATTTCACTATCGCTAAAGGGCAGGGTTTACGAAGTCTGTGAATACGCGATATTAATGTGTGAATGTGAATCCTGGCCGCTTTGTGTGGAAGACGAGCGTCTCATCAATGGAGCCGGCCCACACTTCTTCGCAGGCACGCTGTATTTGCGGAAATAGGCGCACCCAAGGCGGTGGCTGGCCCTTAGTCCGCTCCACACTGGATGGAACCACTCTGAGGCTAGCACGGCCACGAGGACCGTGCACCCTGTCCACCCAGCAATTATTTACTGTCTTCTATATATATATATATATATATATATATATATATATATATATATATATATATATACAGTCTAGCAAACGCCTGGCGGTTCTGCAACGGTGCCTTGCACTTCGAAAGTTCAAAGGCCATGCTGCCCTCAAATTCATCTTGAGTTGACTTTATCGCTTTGCGATTATCATATAGTAAGACAACAATACTTGCGTAATCCACGTTAAGTAATGTTTTCTTTCGGTAGATCTCTGCCTGATTTATATAACTCTCCCAGGGCACAACCATTAAGGCAGCTGTAATGGAGTAGGAGTGGGGATATAGGAAAACTATGATGAACGCCGCTTAATATCGTGTGGACATTCGGCAACTCACTGAAGGCTTTGGTGCGCCGAAGTTATTCGAGCGGAGTGTAGCTAAATTATCAGGTGCTTAATGTGCAAACATGGCGGAGAAATCTAATTAGTTGAACGAGATCTTGAGGTGGAGAAACAGGACTATAGTCGATCTGTTGTATCTGCTGTTCTATAGTCTACTGCAGTAAAAGTAGGATTTATTCAACTGGTCTGAGTAGTAATCATGTCTACCTTTCTCTTAACTAGAATTTCCATTCCACACCAACACAGCAAACGGGAATGGTAGCCAGTGACATTGATGCTAGCGACTTGGAGCCCAGCCTTCGTGGGCTACGCAAGCGCTGTCTTTTCCTCTGTTTAGTTGTGCACCATGATAGATTCATGACGGCTGCTTTGACAGAATAGATATTTCCTGTGGTTTTCAGTGTACCTGGTTCATAGCCATTCTCGAATGGCTGTAACGATCGCGCAACCCCCTCATCTTCACCTGTGATAGGCAAGTCACTTAGTCCCGTCGACCGGAATCTTCGGTCGTTGGCCAATTGCATTCAGCTCTCGTATGTCCGTTCTGGTCCTCCCAGATCTGATGTTGGATTGGTACGAACTATCGAGAATAGGTTTACTTGGTAGTTCTTAATTCTGTTTCTCATGTCTCTTACAACTGGTGGTTCGATGCATTGTGGAGGTCCGCTCCACCACGCATTAACAACTAGAGGTCTATGGAATCGACATCTGTTACCGAGAAACTGTAGGCTTATCAGAGTATTTCTGACATGTGATTCAATTTAGATGCAGATAACTGGTCATAGACATGAAGCAGCTGAGTGATAGGAAACCAACGATACGGTCCCTGCCAGACATTATTGTGGATAGTGGCAGCAATGATTGCCTTACTGACGCACAAGCACAGAACCATTATCTCTTCCCCAGTTTTTCACTACTGGTCCCACTGTGATTTTTAAGTAGCTGACAGCTTTCGTTTCACTTTGCTCTTGACAGCCCATTTGATTGAACTCCGCCCTGTCTATAGGGATTCTACTTCAGTTGAGTTCTCTGTCCAATGTGCTAACGATTGATGGTGCCGCAGGCGAAAGTTCCGGAGCTGTACTTTTTTACCGACAACTTGTTATCGCCAGTGATTACTCGGAAGCTTTGTACGTACCACATCTTGGTAGGCTTTTAAGCAGTGTACTGAGCTGGCTTCTCGGTCGCCATACAGGTGAATTGTGTACTGTGCTCATCGACATTATTAAACAAAATGGGTGGCGGACTGCTCAGATTCGATATACACTTTTCTGACTGAGTGGAATTACCTTACCATAGCCATATGTAGATGCTGTCCGTTTGGTCCATCGATGGATTGGCTGTTTATGATTACTCTGGTTCGTTTTGCTGCTCCTTCAAACAAATGTCAACTAGATCTTGATGTATTTTTCCCCTACTGGTGGTCACCTGTCTCATATCTCATCCACTGTTAAGCTCCTTTCAATACTCTCTAACCCAGCTACTCCCACTGATTACATCTTTCAGCCACTTTCGAATTCCTATAGTAATAGTTGACTCTGCTGCCTTTTATTTGTGCTTTGTTTTTTAAGTCGTACGCAGCTGATAACTGGTTGAACGGCTACGAATCATATCCATATGATAGCGCGCTGACTGTTTCAGCTCCTCATACACCAATTACATATCCCCTTTCATCCTTATCGTCAATTGCGTAATTATATCCATGTGTATAAGTTCTCGAACTGTCGGCCTCAACTCTAAGTTTACCTGCGGTTTGGAACATATTGCTGTCTTTCCTTATCAACTAGTTACTAGCGTTTGCGTTGTATGGGCCCACCACTATTTTTGTGAATCACGGGTCATTTCTGGCGACCGGGAAGTGCCGAGATAGCCCTCGGAAAATCCGAACGTAGACTAGGCAGCGGTCAATAATGTGTTATTATGGAAAAAGGGGTCATTTTATTCTTTACACCAATTTGTATCATCATTTTACTGTACTGCACTTCCACTAGCTAATTCCTGCTAGCCATCATTCGATCGTGCTCGTTGTCCGTTGGCTACTGTTTGGATCACTCTTATCTTGGCTGGAACCAACCTGTGTCTTGTTCCCAATGCCACAAATCAATTATGAGCTGTTCCTCTTTCCCATGCAAATGATTCCTGCTGACGCCGGCAGTGTTGCCTGGTTTTCCACCCCCTGGCTCCATCTGTTGCGCTCGATTCGTCGATTACTCACCATCATACCATGCGTCATACCTTTTAAAAATCGTGCTTGCTTTAAAAGCGTGCTTGACTCACAACACTGCAAATCAGTTGCTCACTGTTCATTCTACCTGCATACTCATGCTCAGTTTACACAACGACGACAACAACAACAGTACATCAGCCATTTGAACTGATGCTTCGCTGCCATACAACCATGGGGGCCTATGAAATAAAGAATAAGAAGAGTGAGAGAAGAGCGACTTACCTGAAAACCTTAATGCCCTAAGCAGGGTTAAGGCGCCTACACCTTGTGTACACAACATACCCTCACAAACAGCTGGCTATCGTGCAAAGGTAAGGCGGCATCGGCGAGACAGCTTCCTTGCGGCTTTTACTGTCACGCGTCATAATCAGCCATTGTCCCGCAGATAATACAGCACCAAACGCATTTTAAACTGGCAATCCGATTAGAAGTTGGCAGCAGATGCGCCACTGGTGTCTACTGCGAGTCATGTTTTGTAAAATCTCTAGCCAAGCCCAAGGCGAGTCACGTGGACGCTATCTCGGAAGGCGAGACGGACCAACGGCACCCAGTTTGGTAGTCAGTGACTTCATTTGCCGCTGCCAAGTGAACTTCTGTCCACCTCGGGATCTACGCCATCCTACATCTGGCAGACTAAACAAGGCCCTTCTAGATAGTCGTTGACTAAGCATACGTAACACGTGCCTAAGCGAACGCAACTTATTCAGCGCTGTCTGTTATTCTAGGGAGATAGCATGGTTTTCACTCCCTAGTACTCGCCTACGCACATCATCGTTGCGGACACGTTGGTGCCATCCGACACCAGCAATACTTCTCCGACAACAATGATCAAAGTCTTGAAGGCGCCAAAGATCCTAAGACTGAAAGGGCTACGTTACACTACAATAGAGAAGGACCGCCTTTCAGACGGAGGGAAGCTCCCTTCTGTCGCTGAAGATGCTGCAGCTTCAAGAAGGCATTTCTGGCCTTTTTACTGCGTGAGCTGACCTCAGTTTCTATGCGCTAATCGTTATTGATACAGCTGCCAAGGTAAGTGAGTTGATAAACTAGCTCGAATTCCTCCTTATCAAGGTCCAAGGGGTCATAGAGTTGCTGGTGGTCCTGTAGCAACGGTTTGTACTTTGCAGGTGCGAATCGCATACCAAATAATGGGACCACTACAGAGAGGTTATTCAGGGTTGATTGGGCCGCCACAACATCGTTGAAAAGCAAGACGATATCGTCCGCATAATCAAGATCAACTAACCTTTCACCAGGCAGGACCTCGATGCCTACATCGTGAGATTCCGCAAGGGAACACTCCATGATGGCGTCCACAACGAAATTGAACCAAAAATGGGGAAATCGGACAACCCTGACGAACGTCACTTGTGGTCGGAACCCTTTCCGACAAGCCACCGTAGACCCTGACTCGGCCTGTTGTGTTCGAATATAGAGCACGAAGGATGTTCACATATTTCGTGGGAACACATTTCAGCGCAAGTATTTCGAACAGAATCGATCGATAGACTGAATCGAACGCACGCTTGAAATCGAGGTACACAGCTATTGTCGGTCTGTAGTATGCGTGGCGTTACTCTAGCATCTGCCGCAAAGTGAATATATGGTCTATACAGCCACGTCCTGGGCGGAAACCGGCCTGCTCTTCCTTTATCCTGGGTTCACGTTCCGCAGTGAGGCGACGAACGAGAATCGAAGCCAGTACTTTTGTCACCACTGCCGTTAGGTTAATACTCCTGTGGTTAGAACAGTGTGCGACTGCCCTTCTTGTATATTGCTACTATAATCGATTCGTTCCACTCAGCCGGGACTCTTAGTTCCAGATACGTTCGAATAGGGAGGTCAGTGCTTTGCAGGTTCTCACCTCCATCCTTAAATAGTGCAGTTAGGAGGAAATCCAGGCCAGTAGCGCGAAAAGATTTAAGGGCTGGGATCGCGATTCGGACATCCGCCTCCGACGGAGGTCCCAAACTAACCATCCCTGGCTGCTGCTGAATCATCTGCATAGCAAGAAGTCCGGGAGCAGGGGGCCAGCTAAACTGCTCTTAAAAGTGTTCCGCCCAACGAGCTTTACGGCTCTCCTTGTTATGCGTCAGTGCACCCGCGCTATCTCTGATTGTCTCACTGACGCTCGGTTTCCTGGAACCATTGGTTCGGATCAGCTGGAAGAGCTTTCGATACTTGCCTACTGCTCCTGCCTCCTCCATTTATTGTGCCCGACTGGTCCACCGGGCTTTATTGTCTGCTCCTAGGCTCTGCTTTATTTCGCGCCTAATAGTCTGTCTGGTCACATTGTGCGTTTGGTACCACTTCGGGAATGAAGCTTAGTTGATGTCGTCAAACTGGCTATACGTAAATGGCTGTTCACCGGAATCCAATCGACCAACGATGGCTCAGTCTTGGAGCTGAGAATGATACCTACTCCAGTTTGCCATGTGAGTGCTGCATCGGTGTCTCCGAGTGCGTGCAACCAATAACGAGAGGATAAGCCCGGTGCCATTGATTCAGCAACCCCATGGAGGTCATTGATCTTCGTTTCAAACATACACCGCGCATCAATACGCGGTGTGTCCAAGGTGCGTGTGAGTGCAGCCTGCTGACCGATTTGTCTTAGGGTATGAACCTTGAACGCCGTCGAGGAAACGGGACAGCGTGACCTCATAAGGGGGCTGTTGTTGATAGGCGTCTAGTGGGTGTTGTGGGAAGTTCGCTGCAGATTGTTCTATTCCAGTGGCACTTCAGTTGCTGTCAATTAAGCTGGGAGTTATAGAAGGACGGTTAATTATGGGGGTCAGGATGGGAGTAAGGGGAACAGGTGGAAAAGAAAGAAGGGAGGCGCCAGCAGTAGCATGTTTTCGCTTATCCGGTCTGCTGTATGCAGCAGATGAGGTGACCCTTGATAATCTGCGCGATGGGTGATACAGAATGAACTTTTTGTTTGAAGAGAAAGTCATGTTTGTATGTGGGCTGAGATACTGCCAGGGCGCCCAGACCTAGACAGGAGGAGGATTAGGGTCCTCAACTAAAGCCTTTGGCTCCAAAGCCTGTGCGCAATGCAGCCGGATGTGGCAATGATTTAGTTCCACAGAAATGGATGCCATCCCATTTCAAACCCCCAGCCTGAGTTTGTCTGACCTCTCGCCATTGACCAACCTGGTAGGAGTAGCTCTCAAGGGGCCCGGAGGCACCAATCAATATGGCTCACTGCATCAAGGAGGTACGCAAACCGTCGCACCACCTTAAGGTCTAGTCTCGTTGTGACGGAAATATGTGTCAGCTGTACGGCACAACGGCACTTCGCTGCTGTGCGACCACCACCAGTCACACGCGGGCTGGATTTATCTCGAGGGCACCCACCCCTACGCGGATTCGATCCCGCTCCGCAAGATTACGAGACAAGCTCGTTTCCTCTAGGCTACGGGTGGTACTAATTGGCTTTTGAAGTTCACTGGCCACGCGTCGATTTCGCTCGCTTGGTCTGAAGACGAACATCACATAAAGTATCCACATTGCTCTTCAGCTTTTCACTGTCTCGTGCTAGTTTTGTCGCTAATGAGTGATACAACACATCGTTATGGCAAGCTACTTATGCCTCTGGTTACGATGTTTGTTACGGTCCTTAGGCGTGTGTGCGTTGTCCAGATCTTACAGTGTGTGCAATGCACTATAGACTTTGTAGTCTTACTATTCTAACTTGTTCACTTCCTATCTCGTTTCCGGACCCCCTTGGTCACTGAAATGAAGCCGAACACAAATTGTTAGCTTTACCGAGACATCTCGTTCCTTTTTTTAACCATCATAAGTCGATACCAGTCCCTGCAGTTTTTTGTCTACTTGCGCCTTTCCGAGAAGACATTTAACTGGCTTTATGAAATGACCTCCATGTTGGCAGTAGCTGTTGTCGATTCTACCCTGTCCTGGATATCCTTCAGATAATAGAACAAGACCTAGGGTTCTACATTTGTGCAGACTCTCTTTGAACTTCATTCTCACTTATTGACCGATCGGAACCAAGCCGTACCTTTTTGACGCTCATGAACTGCACGGTATCTATTGGCCGTTTATGGAGTGACTTGATGGTACCGACACTATCCTTTAGCAACTCAGAACTCGTTGTCAACTTTGCCTATTGCTGCTTTTTCTTTAACTGTGAGTGGAACGGACCGGTATCGTTCGGCCTCCACTCTATAGCTCTCAATGTATGTTGGCGAACTCACCGACGCTGTGTATAGCATAGCTTTTAAGTGAGGTATCTGATAACAGCATGGTCGTTTTATAGTGTTGCTCATCCCAACACGGGCACCCCAAGACCGCGGTTTCGTCCTGGTTAGGACTCATCAGTTGGAGATAGTCTGAGTTGGGCTGGAACTCAGAGCCTAGTGGCTCATGGTTGACACCATGAGCACTATGCCACTGAGATCCGCGAGCAACGTTGATACAGCGGAAACGAATTCAAAGGTAGACTTGGAGAATCCGCTGGTGCTTGGGTTGCTACAAGCAACCTCTATTGAGCATGGTCGTTTCCTCATCCTTATGATATAAACTTTTTAACCGAGTACAAGACACTCGAAGTATGGCATGCATCGCCAATTGCTCCTTGTTTACTTTTCTTCCGCTTACCACTTGGATTTGTCTCTTAGCTTTAACTCCTTTGTTGGTAATTTTGACCTCTAGAACAAATAGTTTGATCAATGATTCCATATCCATGAAAGCAGAAACTTCCAGTTCCTCGTTGAGCCACATCTTCTTTTAACGTCTCCTCAGGACTTCTTTAACCAGCTTTCGGCGCTGGAAGTAACCTTACGCATTGAGCCGATGAACCTTATTCAAAGTGCTAACATTTTATTTATCTGGGATGTCTTATTCAATGTTAGTGGGAGTCACCCTAACTGTCTGCTGCAGCCTTTATCTTTCCCCATCTTAAGCTGTCTTTGTTCGCATAACGGTGGCAGAAACCATATAGTAATGTGGCAGGCTACGTCATGCGTGGAGTGAATACGAGCGCGTTTAAACGTTAGGGGATTTTTCAGTGAAGGGATGCGGCGGTCAGCATGTGTGTGTTTGTGTGTAAAATAATCTACTGGTGATACTGTTAATTCATGCGTTTAGAGGATTGTAACAAACTAAGTGGCACGCCCCCTAATGTGAGCCGAATCATACGGTCGTTGGGAGACTAACCGGTTTATAACTTCACCGGTCGTTCCATTGTGTCTGTTTATGATAAGTGCTTTTATGTTGGCCACTTTCGGGAGCCATGCTAGGACGCTCACTCTCGCCCGGTTTACTTGGAGGATTACATTTAATGTTTATACATTTCCCAGTATGATTGTTTATTAGAAATCTCCATTTAATAATAATAAGGCGCTTTTACTCCTCGTTACTATCCAACTACTTTCCCTCTAAAATCTCTCTCGCAGTATTTTACTTTGTTACCACGATTCCACGATTCCCCTGCTCTTCTAACCGAGATTACTGGGTTCCGTCGGTGTGCTGATTGATGGATTTCAGTCCACAGCCATTGTCAATGCGAGAAGTGGTCGAAGTGTTCTAGGCAATTAGTGCCGCTTTTCTCAACCCGAAAACGGGACAGTCAGCAATGCACTTGGAGATAACACAAGGAGTGTTATTTAATTAATTAGCTTTTATCTACATATGTCTGTTTCCGTTGATTTTAAGACTTTACGACACTTGTATGAACCGCTTACGCATCTCAATTGGCGAGAATTGCTTTTTGTACTTCTTCGTCACCCTTTTGTTTTCACTGTCAAAATTCTTCGTTTTTTTCAGGCGATACTATACCAGGATGCCAGCTGGTATGATCAGCAGGAAGTGGGGAACTTGGTAAAATATCTCTCTGAAGATATTGACACTATAGAATCAGCGATCGGCGTTTATTTGACCGATTTCATACAAAACTTGACCAGTTTTGTAGCCGGACTTGTCATCGCTTTTGTTAGCATATGGAAATTGACCTTAGTCGCATGCAGTATGCTTCCACTGATCGTTGCTGGTTTTGTGTCCTTCGGGGTCATTTCCCGTCACTTCCTTCCGAAAGAGTTCCAATCCTACGCGAAAGCCAGCTCCATTGCAGAAGAAGTTTTCCGTGCCATTCAAACGGTGTTTGCTTTCGGTGGAGAGGAGAGAGAAATTTCACGCTATTCTGAGCAGCTCGATGCAGCTTCAGTCGTCGGTGTGAAACAAGCCAGTTGTTACGGCCTCGGTATGTTTCAGATTATCTGAGTATTACGTTTGGCTTCTGCTTTGAACACTGTTGTTGCCTTACATTCATAGTGGGTTTTCTTTCGTCGACGAGAGCGCTCTGCACGCATTACCCGTTACTCGTTACGGTTCGGTCATTCGGCTCAATGTTTCTTCCCTACTGCTTCTCATTACTTCTTCATGGGTGCCGTGTGCGAATCGTCTCATCTTCCGAACGATGGATGTATTGAATGATTGCACTATAGTCATTTCTGACACTTACACAAATGCTCATCAAAAAACCTTTGCTTCATTACTTTCCGTTTACTGGGGTGTGAGACGCAACTTTTACTTCTCATTATGATCGCAATGGTTAGCAGAATGAATGGTACGATTTAATTACAACTCGTATTCTCTATAGTTGGCCACTACTTTAGCGAGTTGTCGCGTACATATACTACTTCATAGTTTTTCAAGCTTAGAGAGAATTCCTGGACCAATCGCGGTTGCATCTACTGAATGCTTTACAGCTGGCTCCTGAAGCTATTTTCTTCCAGCATCCCGTGTGCCATCACCGGCCGGTATTTACGCAATGAGAGCGTATATAAACAGTTCAGAAGCAGCTGTGGACGATTTGCCACAGGCCAGGGCCAGCGCGTGACCAGATAACATGCAGGCACATATTGCATCCGTACATCAAAGTTGTCCACCACCAATCGATAATTTGTCAGTGTCCCAGAATGACACTACCCCAGGATATTGAGTGGAAATTGGAAGCCATGGTGAACGCCAACTGTTGTGCTACACTTCACTACATATCTTGATGCATCTGAGCCAATCGAGTATGGGGAACATTTGCTCTGTATGTTTTATGTGATAACGTTTCCGTGTAAAAATGCACCACACGCCTACCTCACGTCTGACGCTTCAGTCATCGGTGCCAAAGTGATCAGGCGACCCCATCACTTTAGAAATCCCCTTGATCTCTACTATGCCATCTTGTTCCCTGTACCAAGCTGATTCCACTGTGGCTGGCATGAGCATTCCTACTTACTGTGGTCGATACACCCTTTTTGCTTTAAGATGTCCTTGAATTCCTCGAGGTTGCTTATGCTGCAATACGGTGTCGTGTGAAACAGTACATCCACATAGCAGATGTACTAAAGCAGTGCGTAGATGAGACTGGATATTTTGTGCTAGCTTGAGACCGTGCTACTTTTTCACCCGCACCTGTTTCGTTTTCGACGCCGGCAATCACCGACTGACCTGGATGGGGTGCCTTTGGTTCATCTCACCTACCGGGTTAAAATCCAAATGATGCAATTTGCGTTTGACCTAAGATTTGTTGGAACATGATCTTCAGTCAGAGTCAGTAGCGTTCACGCTATCTTGCTCTATACCATCTCCCACCTATGTTCGTGAATAGTTCAATTACATTCGTTTGATCACGAAGCGAAATCATTTGTTGCCCTCTCAAGTTCGTGGCGTTGACATCGGCCGTGATTGAGCACACAGTATCATACTGGCCTCCTTATTTGACCGGCCTCAGTCGCTTGCACATGGGGGTGGGTGTTGAAAAAATTCGGGCATATGTGGCCAGTTTTAGCGTACCTCCGCTCGATTGGCGTAGAACACGTGTGTCACGCATTGTCTCTGATCGTGGGAGGGCACCACGCAGTGCTTAATGGTTTGTTTCCTCCCGCTTTAATCCAGGCAACCCCTGGTGAAATAGGTGCAAACCCGCCAATTCCCACATGCGGTTGGCTGTAGTCGCACATGAATTGCCCTAGATCCTCTAAGGCTGTATCTGACAGGCCTCAAGCATATCACAATGAGACACTGCAATTACCCTCTTCACTACATTGTGGGTCTAGCTGTTGAGCCAAAGTTTCTGGGTGGAGCCACTCAAGTGAACCTCCATATACCTGACTGCGTTGTGGGTCAGACTGTTGAGTGAAACGCTAGGAGTAGGGCACCTCGACAAACAACCCCCTTCCGGAAGGGGCATCCGAAGAGTATAACCTGCCCTCTCGACCCGATCGCCAACACTTCTTCTCCTCTACCTGTACCACTCTATTCCTCCCCCCTGTTTATTGCGCAGGGGACTGTCACTGACCTCGTAACTAAAGCTATCAAACCGAGATTCGCATTTCTTAATGGTTCATTTGACGTCCAGCCACTTTTTCAGATCGGCCAACAGCAACACTCACTATCGACTCCTTCGGTATTGGTGTGTGCGGTGTCTGAAACACATATACTGCGGCACAGTAGCTGAGGTGTTTCCCACCTCTATATAGTGTGTATAGTGTATGTATGTGTGTGTTTGCGTGTGTGAAACACACCTATAAGACAACCGGGTCGTGATGAATCTTCCACTTCCTGGTTCCGAATCTGCTGACAACGACTACACTCTAAGCGCCACTGGCGACACGAAGTAAATAGCTCAAGATTATTATGCTGTCCGCATCGCTCTCAGCAATCATGCAGAATGCAATCTACTCGACTGGATACCAGTGAACAGCCGTATGTGTGTTGTTCGACTTTAAAAATCTATTGCGGTCAATAACAACCGTCTGAGGATATCGTGCATTTTTAATGCTGGTTTCATGGATGTCTTAGTGGGTCGCGTTTCGGACTCTGAACAACACCTGAAAGGCTGTTTCGGGGTGCATGCACGCCGAACAGACAATGCATATCGATTCCTACAACTGTCTGCTGATCTGAGTGCGCATATTAGTAGCACTGCTTTCGAGCACTAACGTTCACATCGTGTCACATGTGCCCATCGAACTCTCGATGACGTGAACCCAAATTGAACGTGTTGCTGTAGCCACCCATGGCTCACCTCAGTTCAAGACCGTTAGTCAATTTGGAGTATGTGTCTGCTTTCCCACCAGGCTCTAGTGTCTCCCAATTCACCTGCCATTGCGGTGACACCTACATATGGGGTACCAAATAGCTCCCTAACCCAGACGTACCTGCATCACCGTGGAGTGCCGTACACCTCGACTACGCTTCAGGAGGTGTTCAGCCTCATTCGACACACAAAGTCAGCAGTGATTGTTCGCTCTGAAGGGAATGCCATAGAATCTCCTGTCTTTGCTACTGGATGCCCCATTGTTCCGCGTTTTTGTCATTGAATGCCCTAACCTTGTAACGAAGGCCGCCTGCTCTCTAGCCGTGATCCATCCATCACCGCTCTGCGCCGTTGATGCACTTAGATTGGCCAATACGTGCTCCCCTATATATACTGTTCCCAGTGTGGTTGATGCTCACAACCCTGGCTTGCCCAAACGTCTCCGTTTGAATCCTCTCCATCTTACCCCGTGACTTGTTGCACTTCGGCGCAGCGCGTATACTGCAGGTATGTAACCATGCGGTACAACTTAACATCGTTTAGTTCACTGTGCGCATAATGTCAAGAGGAGGCCCACGCGTGCGTCATCCGGCGGAGGTTAAGGCAAGAATATTGAACACCTATGAAGCAGGTGATGACTGGAAGTAGGTTGCATCCGTGTTAATTGTCAACCTGAAGACTTGCCGAAGTTGGATTAAAACGTTAGAGTCCAAGGAACCAAAAGGAAAACGTGGCGGAGCACGTCGAAAATCTGACTGACATTCACGTGGATAATGGTGGAATGGATAGAAGCGGAGCCTACCATAACCTTTGATTGTCTCCGTATCCGATTGAAAGCGGAGCTCAGTGTGAGGTAAGCGTCAGCACAGTAGCTCGGTGCTACATGCTATACGGGAGTCAACAAATACGTTTGAGAACAAGAGACGAAGGAAGTCTTATGTGTTGCAACTGATGAACTTGAAACTGAAGGGTGGCAGCCAGTTTGGATTGATGAGACGGAATTTCGATCTGTTTTGCGCTCGTTCAGGGGGGCGTTCAGCACGTGGCACACGTGCGCAGTGCACTGTAAGGAGCACTCGTGGTCAAAATCTGCACCTCATCGGCGCAATGATTGTAGAAGGACGTTTGGAATATACCGTCTTAAGGGGGAGTTACAACAGGGAACGGTGTGCGCGGTGGTTGCGGCAAATGCTTGATGCCAACGGCACCGCTGTTATTGACAGGTGTCTATTGATATGTGACAGCACACCATGCCACACAGATCTGGAACGTGTGTTCCAAGAGGACCGTTACCAATCAGGGAAACTATTGCGACTCGCGCCATCTTCGCCTTCACTGAACCCCATAGAAGGCGTTTGGAGTATCATCAAGGCGAACGTCAAACAAGCCATGCGGCGCGGATATTCCGAGGTGCTGCGAGGAGATGCAGTTGGTGTTCTTAGTAATAGATAATGTAGGATCCAGCTTCTTGAGAAGATTGTATCCGAAGCACGAGCCAGCACCGTTGTAAACGTGCGTGCAATACACTTAATGGATATGTAAACCTCTTTCATGTCACTGATATATGGTTTTTATCTTTCACCACTATTTTTGCATAAGTTACGTAAGGTTGCCTTGTGCAATACAGCACTTCAATTTGGGCAGCACTAGGACGTACTATCGGCAACCGTAATCTCGGTAGTTATATTACTGTGTTTGTACTTCGCCGACGCGACTATCGTATCTCGATTGCTAACAAATCATAGCAATTACCATGGGAGCTGCAGTGCTCGCTGTGTTAGTGGACCACGCGTTAACGGTTGGTGAAGTGAGGAACATAGTGCTTTCGATGTCGCGAAAACATTCGGCATGAAGGCGCAACTACTGCGAGCAGGAGCTGGGACGTTGCTTCCCTGAATTTGTGTTGAGAAATGCAGACAACTACGCAGAAGTCATCCGATGAGCTAATCAGAGAACGAGCAGTGGACAGTTAATACACAGGATAAAACACAACCCAAGCATACTACCTTTACCAAGCATAGTGCGGTTGTGTAATTGTGGCGTATGAACTCGCATTCTCACCAACCCCGCATAGGCGCTGCGCCATCCCGCGGTGTGTAAACCCCAACAGCATAATGTAATGGCATACAGAGCAGAACACGCAGTGTCACTAACCCGTTACCCGG